GCCTCAAGCCTTCAAACCCCTAGTGCATAATTTCCTCATCACCACCAGTAACAGAAACATTGCAAATCCCATCTACATGCATAGGAGCCAAAATGATCAATAAATTGATCGTGGGCCCTTAAGATATAGAAGAAGAAGTAAATCTAAGTGTCAATTTATCTGAAAAAAATTGGAGCAGTTTGAAATTAAAAAAAAAATTAAATCAACTAAATATTGGGAAATTTCGACTACTTTGTCTCATGTCATACTACTTCATGTCTTTTTTACATAATAATTATTAATAATGGCGGTCATATGCGATTTATAAAAAATGACCAGTTTTAAATGACCCATAAAATTTATAGACCTTTCTAATTAACAGTTGTTTTTCTGTTTGACTCTGGTGAAATTTGGAAAATTTTTAGCAATTATTGAGCAATTATTTAGCACTTATTAGAAATTGTCTGAAAGAAGCACTGTTTTTGCACTTGCCAGGTTTCACTTAGTGACCTACATACTACATACCTGTTTTATTTTTGTTTACCCAAATATTATTATTTTTTTAAAAAATCATTTATTGGCTATTTCGAATTGTATTTGTTAGAATTTAACAAAGGGGGTGTGGTGAAAACTTAATTTGGCAAGGGAACTGGGAAAAGAATTACTGGCGTAGCCAGAGGTGTTTTTTTATGGGGGGGGGGGCGTTGGGGGAAAGGGGGCGGTGGGGGGAGGGGGGGGATGGGTCACACGAGCGTTTAACGTGTGGTGATTTAAAGATTACGGTGAGTGGTGAAAACTTAATTTGGCAAGGGAACTGGGAAAAGAATTACTGGCGTAGCCAGAGGTGTTTTTTTATGGGGGGGGGGGGCGTTGGGGGAAAGGGGGCGTTGGGGGGAGGGGGAGGATGCGTCACACGAGCGTTTAACGTGTGGTGAATTAAATATTACGGTGATACTACGACTACTGAATACTATTTCAGGTTGAGCGATATCTGGCGAGTTCATTTGTAAAAAGCACAAGTCAACGTTATGACGATAATTCCTATTAAACATTGTGTGATAATGTTTACAGCATTCCAGATAGAAATATGCTAATTTTTTATGTACTATGTGGATGGCCCCTTGGGCACCGGAGTAGAATAATATAATTTATATACAGGGCAGTGCAAAGAAGAGTTGCATCCAAGGCGAGGCTTAACAATCGCACCCCCTCCCCACTCACTGGTTTCCTTAATAAAAGATGCGATAACGACATAAATAATGTGGCGCAGCTAGGGATGGGCCAAGCTTTTTCCCGCCCCCCCCCTTCCACACCAAAAAAACCCCCAAAAAACTGAAGTTTTGCTAAAAAAATGTAAAATGCAATAAAAAAAAAATAGTACAAATAAAGCAGTGCGGCCCTTTCACACCATCCTTCCGACGCCACTACCTAAATATATATATATATCGACCTACGAACTGCTCTACATACGAACTTTTCGAGGTAAAAAATTTGTTCATAACCCATTTTGATCTCTACTTACGAACCTTCGATTCGAGACGAGAACTCCTTACGTATCCCATTTGACATCTACAAATGAACCTAGATTCAAGATACGAAACACGATACACTGCGCTTGCGCGCGTTTCCTACCTGTGGTGTTTTTTGTTACTTCGTTGCAGTTATCTGAATTTCATGACTGTTGAGATAGATAAAAATGAAACCTTGTATTTGTATGTATAAATATATATAGTCGATATTTATATATAATGTACAGAATTAAGTTACTATCTTTTCTTTTTAAAGTTTAATCCATCCCATAAAGGCAACAATGTAAAATCTCCAAAGTATGCAATTAATCTTTCAGTGTCTGAATTGTCTGTCTTTACTAGGATAGCATGACATCCTTTCGTCTCCGTGAGACGATGTATCATGGACAATTCCTCATCCCACGGCGTATGAGGCTGATCATATCATTAAATTTTTTCTTATTTTTTTTTTAGCAAGGGCTTTTTTCGCGCATCTTCTTCCTGTTCGACTCCCTCCTCCACTTCCGTCACTGTTAGCACTTATCCGGAACGTTCAGCAGCGATGATCTCTCATTCTTCAATTTCAATCCGGCTTCCCTCATGCTTCTTTTGCAGACCTCCTGAAAGACGTCCAATAAGTCTTGTCCCACCCCCCCCAACCCTCTTGCCAACTCTCCATAGAGCAGGTCCTTTGTAGCACGGCCTTCCTCCAGTCTCTGTACATGGCCTAACCAGATAACGCCCCTCTTGGAGAAAATGCTACACATTCTGGCACGCTGCAGAACCTCTGCGTTAGGCACTTTGTCTTTCCATCAAGTCACAGAATGTGCCGTAAACATCTTTGCCGGGAGCTGTTGAGTTCCCGCTCATGAGTGGCATATGTGGTGCACACTTCACTGCCATCGTATGGGATCATACGGAAGACACATGCCTGACAGACATTTGGGCTTTCGGTGAGTTTAGAATAATTGGTCCACACCCGATTAATCAAATTTAGCCGCGGTCGCTGCTATGTTTGCGAACCTGATGTTCATGGAATATTTTTTTTTAAAAATGTATTAAAATTTATTTTAAACACTGACATAAAAACCCATTGCCATTTAGTACCAGCTAAAAAAAAATCATTTGAATAAACATATTAAGACTAATGGACACCTCAAGATCCAGAATAAGGATATTTAATGATAACCTGATTTCCGGTTTTGTTCCACCCCTCCCCCCCCCCACCACAAAAAACACAGCCTCTCCCGAAATAAATATGTAGCTATTTATTTTTTGGGGATCTCACGCCCCGATTGTAAAACCCAGTGCGGTTTAAAACCGGATTTCTATAACATATATTCGGTTTGTCGAAAATCCGCATTAAAATCTCTAATTTTGACATTTCTTAATTAACTCTTGCTCATTTTTTAAAAATATTACAAAAGGACGAGCAGACAAACACAAATATATATACACAAACACACTCAGAGAGAGAGAGATAGAGAGAGAGAGGGAGAGAGAGAGAGAGTTTAGTAAATAAATATTTTAATGATTTCTACATTTTCTCCTGTTCTAATTTTTGAAGCATTACTGCTTACAAAATATTGGCCAAACATTCACTAAATATCTTTTAAAAATATAATAATTATACAAGCATAAATTAAAAAAAAAAAGTTTATTTACTTAAACAAACAAAGTGAAATGTTAAATATAATTTTAAAAAGTAAAAAGCTAATTTTTAAATTTAATATTTCATTTTGTTTCTTTTCTTTAGAATTTAAAAAGTAAAAAGTAATCGAACATACCGCTGCTGTGAGACTAAAGTTTGTAGCAGCGTGCTTCAATGATCAATCCTCGATTACTCGGCGTGGTTTAAACTACAATCTGCACCACAAGACAGTTTAAGCAAGACACTTTTTCTTTGAGCTCGGCTATTAAGAATTTTGATTACAAGTTACTTTTTAAAAACTACAAAATGACCGTGAAAGGTAAATGATTTTTATGTTTTGTTGAGTGTAATTTGTGTCTTATTAAACATACCGTAATATTTTAATAAAATAAAGAAGAGACTGATTCAGTGAGTGATTCTGAGTGAAGTGAAATCTAGTTCTAAGTTTTTTCATGCCAATCATGCTCTCTGGGGACCTGGACTACAACTTCTCAAGACTACAGTTCTAAGTCCAATATGCAACCAAAATATGGCATATATTGTCACAACTTTATTTAACATGCAATTATAAGTTACAGTAGTGTCTTAGTCTTAGTCTACACCAAGCAAAGTGCAAAGTAGACTGCTACGATACTAAGAAGGCTTACTAAGGCCTGGGGTATACCAGGCCAGGCTAAGCCCCTAATTGCTAAGCTAAGTTAGTAGTAACTGAGGCTAAATTTCAAAAAGAAATCAGATTCTGAAATGGCTTAAATTTCTTCTTGTAATTTGATTTCTTGTTGAACCTTAGTCTTAAATAGTCTACGCCAGTCTAGGCCTACTAACTGTGCTGTTAGGTTGGTGGAACTAATATATCGGATATAGGGGCAACTCATCCCTTATTACTAAAATACTGTTTGGGAACTACTTATTTTGAACTTTCAAATTTGGCACATGACTAATTAAATAATGCTTTCCCTGACCTGGTCTAATAGTTTTTGCACACAGCAAACTTTAATTAATGAAAACTCTGAGATAGTAGTACGGTATAGCCGTTATGCAAGTCACTGTTAATGGATGCCATGACTATGAAATTTTGCACACAGCAAATTATGATCATTTATATGGACTCCACCGGGTTTTTTAAACTAAAATTATATATTTTTCTTTCAATAACATTTAAGTTCATTCTAAAACATAAGTTATCAAATATTTTGATGTAAATAATGGAAATAATTAAATATTTCATAAGTAGCTGCGTCTTCCGCCATCATTGAAAGGGGCGTGGCCGCTTCCTTATCAAAATTGGGTTGAGCTACATTACCATTTAGCGGTTTACTCGAATGAGCATAACAAGTGATCAGTAAGCCATGCCCAATACTAAGTTACTACCACAGGAGAATTGGGGTCAGCTTAAGGTCTTTCACCAGAAAAAGATTAAATGAGAGTAAAATAGAACACCTATATATAACACACTGCTGAGAGGAGAAGGGGCTGGTGTGCTTAGTGGGGTGTGTCTGAATATCTTTCCAGGCTATACTAAAACACCTGATTATCTTGATGAATAAAATAAAAATATGGCTCCTAGGCTTAATCATAATGCAGGAGTGGTCCACCCATGGTAATTAACTCTTTCCCTCCGGAATTATTTTCCACGTTATGACGGAATTATCTATTTCGGGTTTTTGTTACGCACTACTATGTTTTCTCTAAACCTTCATAACTTTTTTGTTTTTAATCAGAAAATGTTAATATTGGTATGGAATTAAAGGGAAATGCATGCTCTTTGCAAACAAACAAGATTTGGGTTTAAATTTTAATAACTGTGATTGTGATTTAATGAAAATAAAAATTTATTTTAAAAAACTCACCAAATGTTCACAAAACGCTCCTTTGAAGTCACACGAAGAGAATTATATAATCCAAAGTGTAATAAAAATGTTTTTTTTCTGAACTATATTCATATGTGCATCACAAATAATAAAGATCAACTTTCAAAAAAGAAAAAATTAAACCTCAGAGCACATTATTCATTGTCACCACCACACAAAAAATTAGGAAAAAAATTTAACTAATTCCACTGGAAACAATCTGTTGCTATTTAAAAAATAATTGCACTGTATCCTTGTTTGTATGTACTAAAATTTATAATAGTAAATGGAGAATTTACCATACATTAGTCACATATTTCCATCTGGGTTTAGCAATAGTAAGCCTAAAAAACAATCCATATGGATGTGCCCTTTAGCTGGGGGGCGGGGCTGGTTGTTCATCAGCTGATGAATTACCAATTTCATTATTTTGTCACTAGTACTACTAATACTAGTACTAGGATTATAATCATACGATTCAACAGAATCAGCCTCTGCATTTGAAATCATAAAATCACTGTCTGAATCATCATAAGAGTAATATTTTCCACCTTTATTACATTGATCACCAGATGGGTCAGGTCAAGATTTCATGTTTGTAAACAAAAATAAAATGGACAATCAAAACAACCGCTTCAAACAATTCGTTCTTCGCTCAATCACAGAAAAACCGGATGTTTATGAAAGGGAAATCATTCTAGAATTGATTTAAAATAACTAAATACCAATAGCTAAGAAAAGAACCGAAATAAACAGGTTTTTTATACATCGACGATCCCATCGTCGATACGCCAAACTCTTCATTTCAAATCGACGATGGGAGCGTTGATCCGGAGGGAAAGAGTTAACGTTAAATTTCATGGCTAGCTGTATGTTTTGCAAAATAAATACCTTATTTCTAAATTCAATCAGCATTATCTTACTTCTTAGCATAAACGCTCATTTAAAATAGGCTATATACATGTACATCAGTTTATTTTTTTGTGATGGTACGCACTGTTTCAGTGTTATAGAAATTTTAATAAACATTTCACTGTTTAGAAAGTACTAAAATTAAATTATTTATATAAATACAACTTGGTAAAGGGAACTTAAGTGTTACACAAGCATTTCTTTAGTTGTTCTCTTATTGATTAAGTGTATAATGATACAAAACTATATTCAGGTAATAGCTTAAGTGCACCCCTGCAACCTACTTTAGGATGTGATACAAAAGTTATTGAATATATTATTCTGTATGTTATTTATAATCACGTTACAGTATTTTACGATTTTGAGTATTACAGACCTGTTTACTCTTAAGATTTTGGCGTAGAATGTACGATTTTGAGGCGTATACAATATAATATATACTGTATGTTTATTTTTTACTATAAATATAAGGTATTGAACGATTTTGTGATGATATTGTACGATTTTAAGAGTTTGAGGGTAATCAGGTCTGGTATTATCCTCAAACTAGATTAAAGTATTTTTGAGTTGCTAGGTGAACAGGTCTGAACAAATTAAATTTGATGTGGTAATAAGGCCTGGGCAAAATTAATTCTTGCAACCTGTTAACCTTCTAGTCCCATGTTAGAAGTATAAGTCTGTAAATTTCTCATGACCATTGTTCCCTGTAAGCTGTGTGCTCTTGCACAGAAGGGGGGGGGGGAGAAAGTGCGCATTGCTGAAACAGGTTTGTGCACACGAAAGGAAATGTTAACACACACAATATTACAATATATTGTATTACTATTTTTAAAAGAGTACTGATAAAAAAATTGTCGAGTAAATTACTATTACAATATAGTAAAAGCTTACAGTATTAGTTTTGTAAACAAATATAGAGTTAGTAAAATTTGTAACTTATTTTATCTAATGCATATGGTGCACACTTACATATAGTTGTCAGACATTGCACGACACCAAAATGAGCACACAGCAGAGACATTGCTCAAAACTATATTTTACATGACTAAGAAGTTTTAGGACACAGAGGAAAGGCAAATTTGTCAATTCAAATAAAACATATGAAAGTGAAAGTATCAAAAGTCTCTCTCTGTCAAAATGGATGAAACACATGACCTTTCAGATGCACAACTACTTCGACTATATGCTACCCAGACAAACTCCCTCGACTATATGCTACCCAGACAAACTCCCTAAATTGCACCAACAGGCACACAATTCTAACATATAGTATTGTCCTATTTTCAACTCAAACATTAATCGCCTAAACGTAATGTCAACTTAATCTATCTCTTATCTTCAGGCACTCCCCAAAACAGGAAAAGGAAATTATCAGACACAGCTGCAGAGCCTACAAGTGCCAAGAAAGCTGCATTATCAACACCTAGACCACAGTCAGCCCAAGGCAAAAAGACACCACCAAATTCAGCCCAAAAAGGCCAGACACCACAACAGAAAAAAGTAATTACTCCTAAAGTACTAAATTCTGGAAATAAAAAGCCTCAATCAGCTACAACGCCTAAAGCAAAAACACCAACCCCAAAAGCAAAAACACCTCAAAACATAAAGAATTCTACAAAGGTAGAAGAGGATGATGATGAGGATGACGACGATGAGGAGGATGATGTTGAGGATGATGATGATGAGGATGATGATGAGGATGAGGATGATGATGAGGATGATGATGAAGAAGACGAGGCAGTTCAGCCAGAAATTAAGAAAGCAAAGCAGGAAACTGGTGCTAAAGGGAAAAAAAACCAAACAGCCCAAAACAAGTCACCAGAAAAAGCAGGTATGCGAAATAGACATGGGAGTCAGATTTTAGGATAATTAAGTTAAGTGGCCCAAAGGCTGCAAATGACTTACACATCATATCAGGAGCTTTATCTTATTACTTGTCATAGCAGTGTGATAGCAGTGTCTCGTTTTTATTAGTTTTTTCTACACTGTTTCATCGCACTCTCAGTCTCGGAGCTAAGAAATTGTACAAATTAATTGCTAAAGCTCTATAGTTTCATTAAATATATTTATCTTATTTGATATTTGTGAATTGAATTGCTTGCCTTAAGTTTTTTGCAAACTATTTTAATTTCGGTTCTTAGGGAACTGTTTCCATTTAAAAGATCATTGCAATTTTGTATGCTTTGGGTTCTGAGTTAATACTTTTATTGTTATTTCTTGGCACTCTTGATTACCTTTCGTGTTAATAGTTTGTATTACATTCAATTTCAGGAACACAAAAAGTTGATGCAGACGCTTCCAGAAAAAGTAAATATATACTTTAATTTGTATCACTTAAATTTGTTTTTTGAACATATTAATTTTTTATTTGGCTCATAGCAAAAGTTTTTCAGTTGTTTGTGTAAATCCATTACAAAATCTTGGATAACTGTCCACTTCTTTGAGTGGCCAGCATTGGCTTATGACCCCTGTTAATGTAAGGTTCACATGTTTGTTAAAAGAGAGGAGCTAAGTTCTGTTTTTTAACTCTATTATTGTCAAAATAAATACGTCAACTGCCCATACCCCAAATATTATCTTTATAATTGTAAATATATTAACATGCAATGACAAATCTTGCAATTTAATACTTTTTCATTTGATTGGCGATATTATGTTTAAAAAATTAGCTAGATTTCCCAGAATCGTTCACATTCCTTCCCACACAAGATATCTCTAAATGTGTAAACAACCAGGTATTTTTGTGATAAGTAACCTAACAATGTTTTTTTTTTGCCATATATAATTGGCTAATATGTAAAAGTTTTTTAATTCTCTGTGACGTTTAACCTTACATTGTTGGAGTCAATGTGCACATTTCTAATTTCAGATGATAGGGATGTAAGGACACTGTTTGTGAAAAATATACCCAGTAATTGTTCAGTAAAAGAAATAAAAGCCCTCTCTAGTGATATCAAGCAGGTCAGACTGAGGATTAATACTAAAGTATATAACAAGAATCCTAGAAACGGGCAAGTATTCTGCTTTTTATTAATTTGCATATTTCATGTTATTTTTTATTTGAACTGAAGTTAAGATTCTAACCTTAAATCTGTATTGGTTCTCTTTCCTAGCTTCATTGTATTAATTATGGACGTACTTTCAGGTATGCTTATGTTGAGTTTGGCAGTGAAGAGGCAGCAGAGAAAAACTTTCCCATCCTTAAGGAAGCCAGCATCAGGGGTAACAAGTTGACTGTAGACTATGTTGGAGCTAAAAGTTTGAATATCAAGGGACATAAGCAAGTTACTGATGGTTCGTTATTTAATTTTTATGTGGCTAGTCTAAACAAAAAATCTTTAAATGTTTGTTTTTTAACATTTGTTCATACCTGTAAAGCGTATAATTTTTAATCCAATTGAAGGGTAAACGGAGGTAATTTTGTTTTTAAGTTACAACAAATGAATGAAAAATTCATATTTATTATCTTTCAATTATAGTATCCAATTGTGGGACATGGTATGGTGTCTTTTTTCACAAGTTCACTATTGTCACCACATCATCTGTCTCAGACCTGTTGAGTCTAACAATTTAGTCTTTAAAATTAAGACCGCCACATTTTTGTGATTGATAGTGAAAAGAAGAGTGGGGGGAGGCTGAAAATACATGTTAATAAAAAGTTCTACAATATTCACCTGAAACGCTGTAAAAATATTATATAATGTTTTGTAGTAATTATCGTAAATGTTTGCCATGTATTTTCACAAATGAACTCAGATATATTAGTAGAACTAAGTTACAAATTCAGGTTTTTACAAGGTTCCCTGTGTAAAATTTTTACAAGTACACTTCAAAATAGCAACTACATAACAAAATAAAATAAAAGGTTGTCTAAAAATAAATATAACACATATTATTATGTAGGTTGCTAAGCGCCATCTAGTAACTGCAAAAAATAGTTACACATGTGGGTTACTGTTGGCACTATGACCTTTAGATGTTGCACTAAAAGGGGATGTAAAAATTTATGAAAATTTTGTAGTTTTTCGCAAAGCCTCAGTGAGGAAGTCACATTAACCCATATAGAAAAATGTGCCCCCCTCCCCCTTAAAGAATTTTTTTAGCGCCCCTTTTCTTTGTGAAATTAATGGTATTTTATAGCTCTTAATTACTATTAAGGTCTTACTGCTCGTTGCCCCTTTCTCATCGCTCTGCCTGAGGCCAGCATGGCAACCAGGGCGATTCTGCATATATTATGGGAACCACTGGGCTCACCGAACAGCCAGCGGTGAAGATCAGTAACACATTTTGTTTACTGTAACATCATAATTATTAGAAAGATTATTTATTTATTTTTTTCCAAGGATGGGTCGGCAGCTAATTTTGAGATTTTGATATTATGGAGCAGTGTGATTTGATAAGCGGATTTGTAAAAATATGTTGTCTAATTTTGTTTCATAATTTCTGATGTGTAGAAGAAAGAGATCCCTTAAAGCTGTATTTGGCTGGACTACCTTTAGATGTTACAGAGGCAGATGTTCGCAAAGTATTCCCTAAAGCCAAAGAAATTATTCTACCAATCAGAAAGAAGGACAAGAAGTCATTTGGGTAAGGACAATTTTGGCACCAATTTCGATCTATGCTTCATAGTCCAAGGCCTTGTTTTCCTCTTGGTATATCAAAATCTTTTTTTTTTTAAAATTCAAGCAATAGTATTGTCATTTTTCTTTTCTTTTTTTTTTTACAGCTACGGATTTGTCACATTTACTTCCCCTGAACTTGCTAAGCAGGCTCATGACAAGACACAGGATGTTAGCCTGAAAGGTGTAACACTAGTTGTTTTGTATGCAAAGTTGAAAAAAGAAAAACCTCCAGCTGATGAAAAAAAGAAGCAGCCGAAAAAAGCAAACAAGAAACAAAGTAAGATATCATAATTGTTTTTCTTGAAATAATAGTTATTGATTTTAAAAAACAAATGCTGCAAGATTTCCTTATTTCATTCATTGTGACTAAATTTGTGATATATGGGTTTGAGACTGCCAGTCCTGAAGCACCTCTCGTTTTAAAATGGCCAAGAAGTTCACAAGACTTTTTGGTGATGGCATGATCTCAGTTTTTAAATCCTTTAACTTCGCTTTTGTTTGTGAGTGGCTGGCTGACAAAATCTTTGGAAGGCTCATTGACCCACTTTTTGCCCCCATTGCTTAATATTAAATTTATAGACAATTTATAGCCAAAAAAAACCTTAGTTCTCAGGGATTCTTTAATTTCATTTGTTTCTTTTTTTAATCTTGTTATAATCTATAATCTAGTCTGTGTTGATCCAATGAACCGGTACCACAGTAGATGTTCAAAAGTTGTTTTTTTCTGCTGTTAATAGTGTTATGTTATATTTGTCCTTCATGTGATAAAATTAATTAGTTTTAAGCTTAATTAAAAAATGTATATATTATACATTTATAATACTCTTACTTCCCTTTGTTCAAAAATGGTGAAAGTGGAAGTCCCACAGCTAATAAAGATCAATACTCGGAGGTCGCGAGAGTCTATCTCTTATGACCTTGGCCGTGAAACATAGCCCAGTAGTCCCTGGGGACTCCGGCCATGCAACTCGGCCCCGAATAAGTGGGGGTTGGAACAGCTTTACTTCCTCTCCGGAGATGACGTTGCGTTGCCACCTCCACCGCCCGTGAGCTGTACGTTTTTCCCTGGTGTGGGACGGCTTTGCTTCCACTCCGGGAGTAGTTACTGGCTTACTGTCTCCCACCGTCCCAAGAGTTGTGCGAGCAAGTTTGGTTCCCAACTATTTGTTTCCCCCCGGGGAGGCGTTGCCTTGCCTCAAACCCGCGTTTTTCCGGGAGTGTTTCGGACTGGACTGTGCAGGGGTTAGAACGGCTTTAACTTCCTCTCCGGGAGAAGTGTTGCGTTACTTCAACCCACCGCTCTGGGAGCTGTTCGGGCTTGGACGTTGCGAGGACGAAACAGTCGCCTAGGGGCGGCTTACTCAAGGCCGCGTCTTTTTAATCACTGGTAGTGAATCTCTTCACTGCCTCATACCCATAACCGGCAACACGTAGTCATGTTAGCGCTTAACTTCCGTTGCGTTAGAAGTCATGCGTTTTGCAGTGTGTGATCTTTGGCTTCCGGGAGCACGCCCGTACTGGTCTTCCGTGCCGCGAAGAGGCATATCACGTGCGACATTTCCTCGAGCTTGGCAATGTGACTTTCCCTTGATCCAGCAAGCTGTCTCGAGGGAAACGTCGAAGAAGTCCCACAGCTAAAAGGGATAATTTCATTCTTGCTTAATGAAAATATTTTTTTGCCAACCAATTTCAAGCTGTATTTTTGAATCAGGTCTCCCAACAGCTGTAATCAAGTTACAAAAATCTGCTATTAACTCAGTCTTTCAATGCAAGACAAAGGGGTTATTACTATTGTGCAAAGAGTTATCATTGTTTTATTGGTAGATTATTACAGCTTAAGCCCCTATTATTTTTTTTAATTTAGGGCCCTACGTTTGCCAGAAATATGATCAGGTCGCAAATACAGGTAGTGAATTGACCATTAGGCATTTATTCCAGTGTTGACTTTACTACTTGGGATGAGGTATCTAACCTTGTTTATCTAAACAAAGACATTTACAAATACTGACAGATTTGCATCTTTAATGTAAATGTTTTAAATTTCAGATCCAGCTGAAAAGAATGTTAAGGTGGAAATTAAAGAAGAGGATGATGAAGAGGAGGTTTGTATTAATTTCAACTCTGTTAATTCACGTAGCCCATCTAGTAGATAAGCTTAATACTCACTGGCTTCTTTAGCACAACATAGGGCACGATTAGTTAATGCACAAAAAAAAAGATTGCAGTGTGTCACATTAAACTTTAAGATGTGTACCGTCCAAGAGCTTAACTTAATTAATCTTCATTGATATGACAGTGATGTGTACCGTTCAAGAACTTAACTTAATTAATTTTCATTGATGTGATAGTGATGTGTACCGTACAAGAACTTAACTTAATTAATCTTCGTTAATGTGACCGTGATGTGTAGCGTACAAGAATGTACTTAATTATAATCTTCCTTGATTTGACAGTACATGGTTCCTGGTAGGTTTAATTTTCTCTGATTAGAGGCTCATTCAGAGGAACTCTTTGGTAACGCTACTCTTCATTGAAAAACTGAATCTGTACTGTAATCAACTGATTTGAAATGGTAACATGAAGTACCAGTATAGTAATAGATAATGAAAAGTATTGCATTGTACTACAATACATTTTTCAAACACAATTCAAGACTACGAGACAAATACTTGGCTTCTGATTTCTCTTAACTGCCTAAAGTTTATGTTAAAGTTAGAAAATGTCATTTTTGATATGAAAGGGTTGAGACTTGTTTTCAAGCGAATTTTGGAAAATATGTGTTAAATAATTCTGGCTTTTTTGTTTAATTCCAAAAGGAGATGGACGATGATGAGGAAGATGACGAGGAAGATGATGACGATGAGGAAGATGATGATGATGATGATGATGAAGAAGATGATGATGATGACGAATAAATACAATCTGACAGAAATATTTATGTTATATACGACAAATAAATTTGTACCCTACAGGAAAACTTTCATTGATCACTTGGTGTTTTCATTTGAATTGGAAAAGAAATGTGTTGTGAGTTGATTTAAAAGAGAAGTGTTGGGTTGTTAGATAAATAAGAATAGTTATTAGTGGAGATTGGGTTGTTAGATATATTAGAATGGTTTTTAGGGGAGATTCAGATTTCTCGATGTTAATAATTTATTTAAGAGAAGTAACAAGTTTTTCTTAAGAATTTTCATCGATTTGGTTGTACATTCTACACTACTGGTAACACGACAGTATAGCAATCCACGTTTTCATGTGGCATTGCTTGAAGTACAATATATGACATCATACAGCCGGTTAACTACTGGGTTTTTGTTGTACCTTACTGATAAAGGCATTTTCATGTGTCAAAACAGTTGTATTCTGTGTAACCATGATTAATGTTAAAGCTTGACCTACCATTGTTTGATTTATAAAAATCATAATGGAACCATTTCGCCCCATTTCTGTTACAACTAGTCTAATAGCAAGTATCAAAAAGCTCGCGACTTGCCTACTTAGTAGTTGAGAATCCATTTTGTTAAAGAATAAAAATTGGCAGTGTGAATCTACCTTTGTTATAGTCTTAACTTAAAGTGACGATCTTATCACTTGCACTTTTTTTTTTTTTTAAAGAAGAAAAGATTCTTAAACTAAGTGTGAACCAGTTCCACGGAATGTGAAAGATACCCGGGAAGTTTAATTTTTCTTTTTAAAAAATCGTGCAGGATCCTGGGGGATGAAAAACCCTACCTACTTCAAGGCATCATTCATTTATTTTCTAACGTACTATAACTTTAAAATTGTGGTGGAGAGACGTGTAACAATCCATCAATATATAATATATTTTTAAACAGTTGCATTAGTTGGTAACAATAACATGAGGCCAAATTGTTATTTGTGTATTTAACGTTTCAAATGGTTCCTGTTGACGCTAGGAATTCATTTCATAGTGGCACCGATGTAAATATTTCCATCCGATATATTTGATGACGTTTACATTTGGCCTATATATTTTACTAGCAGCAGCATCCGGATTGTAGGCTGTACCCCAGTTTAATCAGGGACGTCTTTACATCCGTAGAGGCCCCAGGCACAGCAATGCACTGACATCCCTAACCCCTGGGCCGTGCAAAGGAGGGGACCTATCACCCCTGACGCCAGTATCACTATCAGGAGGCGTCGAAATTGTCTAAAGTTCGATAAGATAGGGCCTTTTTTTCAAAGTGGGGTTAACGATAAAATCCCATGTATCGGGGTACTTCACATAGGGGCAGAAAATAAAATAGTCTCTCTCACTAGTGCGCCCTGGGCACAGCTTTTCCTGGGAACGGCTGTTTATAGCCCATAATTCAAGTAATGTGATAAAAAGCTTGATGGCCAAGGTTGGCCTATTATTATTATGCGTTTTGACCAGTTTCTTACAGATAATTTTTCAACGAGGGAGTGGGGGTAGTATTTTAAGCATTCAGGGGAGGGGGCAAGTCATCTATCAGCAGAGAATTAAGGGATTTTAATGTCCAGGGCCAGCTCTGACTTCGTAGCTACCGCCACACATGACCGTAAATTCACTCTGGTAGTGGAGCCCTCTGAGGGGTATGCTTTTTGTCCAACTTAGACTTAGATTCCCTAGACTCTTTAAAGTAAAACTACGTATACCAAACTAAAGAAATATAATAATTTTGTCCATTCAAAAAATCACTCTACAAGTATTTACCCAGGTCCAGTGCTTATTTGAGTAAAAGTTGTGTCGGGACTGGCACTATTAAGTGGGGATGGAGAAGAGATCGGGGGCGCCCAACGAAACTGGGGGATAAGCTTTGGAGACATGTCTCAGTAAGCCCCTCTCAACAATTTTTTATTTATTTATAAATTCAAAATGATTGATAGTATGCATTCTGGCGCATACATGAATTCATGTTGATCATTCTACACTTAACCGGCTAGCAACAGAAACGATGCTAGTTGAAATTTTGGTTCCCTTGACCATTCAAGAGTTACACGCTTCCTTTCTATTTTTGACTTGTAAACTTGTACCGTAGTTAAATTCTAAATAGGAATGTTGTTATATAATTTTATTAAACTATTTATTGTAACAACTTAAAATATAATACTATTTAGTACTAAGAGATACAACAACGCCACGTGACACCTACATTCGGTTGCTCTTCGATTAATTGTAGTTGAAGGGCAAAAAAATCGCCCCCAGTCCCGCACTTTAAATTTATCTAAAAAATTTCTGGGTAAGGGCTCAATGAGCACCCTGGGCAGTCTCTCCTCCCCCAACAACGCTTTCACTCGTGATCCATAGGCGTCCTCGAGATCTGTCCCCCTCCCCCCTCTCTCTTTCCCACGCCTATCAACGTGACATTATTGTTTGCAACTAAGATGAACCAAAAGAACATCAATAATTTAACCCATGTGAGTGGCGTGCCACAATTGGAATGAATTCAGGTTATGTACTCCTAATTTGCGCGCTGAAAGTATAGATGTCCTGTCGTCGTCGCAGGGGAAAAAAACAAAAAACGAAAACAAAAAAAGCAACACCCTCCTGAAATGTCCCCTCCTGGTTCAAATTTTAAGAGAGAAAGTCTGAATTCAGGTATACGTTCAAATGCAGACTTTGATTTTGAATTCATCCAAATTTTTCTGGCGAGCGGGTACCCCTTCCCTAAATGACTTCACACTTTCGCTTTGCGGCCGTTGGCGATCTCGATTTCTGTCCTACCTCCGCCAATCAAAATGACTGTCTCGGCACCTTTTTAGCTACCGGTACAACTAACAAGCTAGAGGATTAGAGAAACTAACAAGCTAGAGGATTAGAGAAGCTAACATTGTTTACACGCTAGAGGATTAGAGAAACTAGCAAGTTAGAGGATTAGAGACACTAACATTACTAACAAGCTAGAGGATTAGAGACACTAACATTACTAACAAGTTAGAGGATTAGAGAAACTAACATTACTAACAAGTTAGAGGATTAGAGAAACTAACATTACTAACAAGCTAGACGATTAGAGTATTTAGAGAAACTAACAAGCTAGAGGATTAGAAGAACTAACAAGCTAAAGGATGAGAGAAACTAACAAGCTAAAGAATGAGAGAAACTATCTAACTAGAGAATTAGAGAAACTAACAACCTAGAGGATTAGAATCCAGTTATGCCAAGAGGAAATGAAATAAAATACTTGGGGGGAAAACAATCTAGACGGGATTAACTGAGAGAACTATTGGAAGTAAACCTAATATCTGACCGTGTTCACGTGACCAAGAAGCGGAAAATGAGTACGATACATTGTACAACGAACCGAGGTGAAGGGACATAATCCCAGCTTAGTCAGCAAAGAGAAAAGAAGAATAGCGTTAATTATTCCCCTTACCACCAACGTGTTCAGCCTACCTACCTCCCTCCTCATCACCTTCCTTTTACACCCCGCCCCCCCCCCTCAAAATTAATAAATGAAATTCATAAAAAATAGTTCAAGTCTGTAACCGGATATCTTTTGTCATCACTTCCTGCCGAATATACCCAATAAACTTAATAAACACAACATACCCATTATATTTATATTTATGCCTCTTCAAAAAAAAAAAAAAAAAAAAAAAAAAAAAA